CGCCTCCGCTGAACTTTTGAAATTTCTTTTCGCCACCTAATTTTGATTCCTAGCTCGGTCACTGTCTAGAAACATGGCCCAAGCGACAGCGTTTGGCTCCAAGTGGATGATCTTTGAATCCAGAGTTATGATTGTCCATTAAATTATCATCTCCTGGTCATTCGATTGAAAACTGTTTTTGCACTTTTTACGCATCCACATTTTGCAAACATGTCTATCACGGCATTATGAAGTCTGAAGGCCTGTTTAGTTCACCGATTTCAAATTATCGATAGATGTTGTGGACTCGTGGATAATTAAATAGCGGTTAATAGCTATTGTGTTTAGCTAATGTTTTTAAATCGGACCGAACATAGGACCGATATATGACGACTGAATCACAAATGAATTGGATCAATTTGATTTAATAAGATTTTTTATTTTAATTTGTAAAAAATTGAAAAATAGTCAAGAAAAAATTTTATAGAAAAAAAAATATTTTACATTCATCATCAAGTATTAATAATAATAATAATAATAAATTTTATATAATAATAATAATAATAATCAGACCATTAAATAAAAAAAATTTGTGCAAATAAATGGATTATGGATTATTTATGTTAATTATACAAAAGAGAGAGGCCAAGGGGTCGAGTGAAAGGCACGTAGCCCTACTTTTATAGCATGATGATACAAACAAAGGCTACAAAAACCAAAACAAATTTGGACCTTCTGACTTGAACATTTCCCAGCAAACACTGCTTGAAAATCATCAGCGCCATCGGCTTCATTCCCAGCCACACAAAATTAACGCCTCCTTCCACGGCGGTGCGACCCTTCTCCCACACGCAGGGACGGATGTAGCTTAGGGCCAAGGGGTGCAATGGGCCTCCTTGAAGCTAAAAAAAAAAATAAATATCTAATTTTTTTGGCAAAATATATAAATTGGCCCTTGAACTTGTAGAGTTTTGCTTATTGTGCCTTTAAATTTTTATTAATCAATTTTAAGTCTTTTAACCTTTTTTTTTTTCTGAAATAACTCTTTTAACTTTAATTTTGGTAAAAAGTTAATCTTTTTAACAGGGACTTAATGATAGTTAAAGGAAAAAAAATCGACCCATTATAAGCTAACATGTGAAATTGTATTTTTTTAAAAAGTAAAAATTCGAATTTTTACATATAAAATAAAAAAAAAAGGAAAGATAAGAATAAATAAGTACAAAATTATGTAGAAACGTGTTGCAAAAATTTATTTAATAAATTTTAGATTCCAGCATTTCTAATTTTTTTTTTAAAGAAACAAAGATACAATAAATAGCCAACTAAATAGCTATTTTTGTGATAAATTATTAAATACTTCAATTGTTCACTCATCTTTGTTTCTTTTTAAAAAATTAAGAATGAAGAAGTATAAAATTTATTAATTAAACTTTTGCAATATAAAATTTCTTGTATAATTTGCATCTAATTATTTATTTATTTATTTATTTATTATTCTACATGTCAAAATTAAGTTTTCCATTTCTTTAAAAAAATTTCACGTGTTAGCTCATATTTGGACCTCTTTTTTTTTTTTTTTTTTTATTTTGTGCCTTCTAAAATTTATATATAATTCATCAATTTTAGTCTTTTATAACCTTTTTTTTCTTTCTAGACAAACTTACTCTTTTAACTTTAATTATTGGCTATAAAGTTAATCATCTTATAACAGGGACTCTAATAGATAAGATATAAGGAAAATCAATATCGCCCATTGATAAGCTACATTGAAATTGCATTTTTATTTAAAGTAAAAAATTCGATTCTATTACACTAAATAAAAAAAAAAATGGAACAGATAAGAAATAAAATTAAGTACAAACAAATTAATGATAGAAAACGTAGTTGCAAACATTATATATAATAAATTTTTAGATTCCAGCATTTCTATAATTTATTTTTTTTTAAAGAACAAGGATACAAATAACAATAGCCAACCTAGAAAGCTATTTTTGTCGATAATTAATATTAAATCTTCCAAATTGTCTCTCTCTCTTGTATTCTTTTTAAAAATTAAGAACTGAAGAAGTAATAAAATTTATTAATTAAACCTTCTTTTGCAATATAAACAATTTTATTGTGATTTTGCACTCTAAATTATTTATTTATTCATATATATATTTCTTTATTTCCTAACATGTCAAAAATTTAAGTTTTCCAATTTCTTTTAAAAAAAAATCTCTTACGTGTTAGACTCCTATTTGACTCTTTTTTTTTTTTTTTTCGATTTAATGCCCTGCTTTCAAGCTCGTCGATTTAAGAACGAGGACTAAACACTCAATTCTTCCACCCAACTTAAAATTGGACCAGGATTATAAAACATGACAATGGAAAGCTTTTAGGGACATAAGTGGAATCCACCTATATTTAACTACAAATTTAGAGTCATTTTATCCCGTTTACCTTCAACATATTCTCAACACAACAGCAAAAACAGAAACAGACATTGTTAAAGACCAATGTGTAAATGTTTTTCGCTGCACTTTTTTTTTTTTTTTTTTCGTTAATGCTGTTAAGTCTGTTAAGAAAAGGCTAACTATTTTCCAAATTAAAATTGAAGGATTTAAAATTGACAAATGAAAGTTTAGGGACATAGTGGATAAAAATATATTAAAAATTTTAGAGTCTTTTCTCTTTACCCTTCAAAATATTCTCAGCAACAGAACAGATTGTAAAGCCAATGTGAATGTTTTTCGTGTATAAAATGACAAGTTTTATGTAAATTGGAATTTTTTTTATAATTAAGGATCTTTAACTTTTATTATTGTATTAGCAATAAAAAAAACTTAAAATTTTTCAAGAGAGTTTTACACGTGTTTTATTTGCTTTAATAATATTTTTTAATTTGGGCCCCTTGATCAATTTTCTGGCTACACCTCTGTCCACACGCTTCAACGTGGAAAAAATCATTGATTTTAACAAATACATCTCCATTCCTTTGTCCAATCTCTATCACCGGGCACCGGCCACCCTATCCAGCGATCAAATATCATGAACAAAAACTCAAAACTTTTGACCATTGCTTTGAAAAAAAAAATCGAAATGGATTGGCCGATTCGACCTGTTTAATCGGGATCAGATAAAGGTCCAATCTGAATTATATAGAAAAATAGATAGCTTTAAAAACCGGCATAAACCGATAAAAATCAAATGTAAATCGACCAAAAACTGTTGAACTGGATCGATTCAAAATTTGGATTTTTTCTCAAATTGTGTCTTTTTAAAAAAATTGGACCTATTAGCAATTGGGCTCATTGATTTTCTTAGTTTTAGGACATCTTTATTTCTAAAACCAAATTTGTATTATATTAATCAAAATAATTAAAATTTTCAACTTTAAAGCGAAATACCACTTGGTGTGGTGGCCTGATAGTAAATGCTTTGCATGATCACATTTTGTTATCTATGATGTTTAAATATTGACTCTCGAGGAACTTAGCCCACTTTTAGGTTTCCTCAGGGCGGGGCTCTTGCTATCATGGGTTGAGGATGTCAACAATTGACCGGTGGCCCCAGCCGACGAATCAATGACTAACACACATAATAATTTATTTTTTTAATTCTGAAAAAAAAAAAAGCAAATGTGAAAAATAATATTATATTAATTGCTTTTTTATTAAATTAAATTTAGTCATATTTTATTATTTTTGTTTAAAATTATTTACTAACTTTTTTATTATTTTTATAAAAGCCAAATTTGAGAATGTTTTTTTTTTATTTGATATCAAAGTTTTTTTATCCTATACTTTCAATTTATTTAATAAATATATTTTAAAATATTTTTTTTTTATTTGATATCAAAGTTTTTTTATCCTATACTTTCAATTTATTTAATAAATATATTTTAAAATATTATATATAAAACCGGTTGAACTATATTGAATCCGGTTAAATTTTCCAGTTTAGTAAACCTCTATCTTCACCATTTCAAAACACTGCTCTCCACAAAGATCTTCCTAAACAAAGCTACAACAAATTCAGCCCATCCTTCAGTATCTACGACAACAACGCCTGGTGAAACTTGTCGGACATCAATTATAAACGTGGTGATGTTATTATTTATGCAGTAATATAAATTTTGTGCAACAACCTCCTTTTGGGGTTGTAGTTTTTTTTTTTTTTTTTTTTTTTTTTTAAAAACAGCACCGTGCAAACACTCAACCCAGGCCATATCGATTTTGCCATGTTTTGATTTTTCTGAGTTCGTTTTTTTTTTTTTTTTTTTTTTTTGTGGTAAAAACAGCACCGTGCAACACTCAACCCAGTCCATATCGATTTTGCCATTTTTGATTTTTCTAGTTCGATCCAATTTTTAGATCTTTCAATTTTTATATCAAATCATATCGAAACAACTACTGCATCGCAGATTAACCGATTCAGACCCTTCCAATACCTTTATTTCCATGACTTATCAAGCATCAACAAAATGCAAATAAAGTTTGTATATTTGTAGACAAATAAATGTATAAAAAGAAGCCATTCAGGTGCAATCTGACCTCTCCATCTCAAGAGTTAATAATTATCAAACGCTAACCAAACACACCCTCTCTTAGAGTCTCGGAAGTGCACGTAGAAAGATGCATCTCATACTCAAAACATTTGAGTATGAAAGTATATGAAAGTTATCAAGTGCAGAACATTTGAAATTACGAAAGATGGGCCACACGTTATAACAATGTTGTCCGGGGCATTTAATCAAACAAACCCAATTGCACATTCAACCTCGTGAATCGGTGATTTGACACACAATCCAATTATTAATTCCATAAAACCGGAACTCTCTCGGCGTTTCCTCAAACACTTGAGAGTCCTAACTTAATGCCCCGTGTATATCATAAAAATCCAAAAGGATATTTTGGACAAACACAAGAGAGATCAAAACCCAACCTCACAATCTCACCGCAAACCACGACACCATCTTTATTGCTTCAAATGATTACTTATAGAACTCGTCTTCTTAATAAGTACCAAAACGATTATTTAAAAGTAGGTAGTTTTCGTGAGACATGTCCCACAAGTCACCAAATTCCCTCCAAATTACGGGCTGCAAAACAAGCGAGATTATGAGAAATGAAACTAACAAAAGCCTACACTATCCTCAACAACAGAACCAACGTAATACCCATCAAAACCATAAAAACCAGCACACTTGGTCTTGCCTTATAAGGAAACACTTATCTCAAGGATCACATAAGGAAGCCTTTGTTATATATAAGCAAATTCGATACAAAGGAACTTACATATTGGGGTTAGTCCCTTTGATTCTCAAGGCCTGCGCTTCTACCTCTGTTGTAAAATATGGGAAATGTTTACATGGTGAGGCCATAAAAAATGGGGTGGATTTTGATCTGCTAATTGGAACTTCATTGATTGACATGTATGCGAAATGCAGGGATCTATATAATTCACGTAAAGTGTTTGATTTTATGCCTGATAGAAATGCTGTAACGTGGAATGCAATGATTGGTGGATATGTTAGGAATGGAGATATGAAATCTGCGTCAGTTTTGTTTGAGAAAATGTCTACAAAAACGGCAGTGACTTGGATTGAGATAATTGATGGGTTCGCTAGGACTGGAGATTTGGTTACTGCTAGGTGCTTTTTTGACCAGGTACCATCTCAGTTGAAGAATGTGGTGACATGGACTGTAATGGTTGATGGCTATGCAAGCAAAGGACAAATGATAGATGCAAGAATACTTTTTGAAAAAATGCCAGAGAGGAATTTCTTTGTATGGTCATCAGTGATTTCTGGGTATTGCAAGATAGGTAATGTAAAGGAAGCTAAAACTATTTTTGATAAAATTCCGGATAGGAATTTGGTAAATTGGAACTCTTTGATTTGTGGCTATGCACAAAATGGATTTTGTGAGGAAGCCATGGAAGCATTTGGAAAAATGCAAGCTGATGGCTTTGAACCTGATGAAATAACAATTGTGAGTGTATTATCTGCTTGTGCTCAGCTAGGTCTACTGGATGTTGGTAAAGATGTTCACCAAATGGTGTATGATAAACGGATAAAGCTGAATCAGTTTGTTATGAATGCATTAGTTGACATGTATGCAAAATGTGGTGATTTAGCTAATGCAAGATTAATCTTTGAAGGAATGACCATAAAAAACAATGCCTGTTGGAATGCTATGATATCAGGTTTTGCCATTCATGGGCAGTGCAAAGAAGCTCTTGAATTTTTCAGGAGGATGGAAGAGTCAAATGAGAAACCTGATGAGATAACATTTCTATCTGTTCTTTCAGCTTGTGCGCATGGGGGTTTTGTCGATGAAGGTTTAGATATTTTCCCTAAAATAGAAGAGCGTGGGTTAGTAGCAAAAATTAAGCATTATGGCTGCATGGTTGATCTTCTTGGGCGTGCAGGAAGACTACAAGATGCCTATACTTTGATTAAGAGAATGCCAATGATACCGAATGATGCAGTTTGGGGTGCTTTGCTTGGTGCTTGTCGAGTTCATATGGATATGGATATGGTGCAAAAGGTGATAGATGATGTGACTAGACAAGATTGCACCATTGATTCTGACAATGATCCACATTATGTGCTCCTCTCAAATATATATGCTGCTTCTGATAGTTGGGAGAAGGCTGAAAGGATGAGAGTGGTTATGGAGAACAAAGGATTTCTAAAGACTCCTGGACGCAGTTCAGTTATGCTTGTCAATGGAGACCAATATCTTTAGAGGTAAAGTTCAAAATGTTGGTTAAGTATATTTTAGTATATAACTTGAATAGGCTATATATATATATATATATATATATTGTTAATATCTACAGAACATTTCTCAAATTTTCTTGTAAATGAACAGAGATATTAAATGGGAACTAATTTTTCTGCAAATGCTTCCTCCTACCTGTGCGTTGTTCTTGCAAAAAATTTACATTATCAGGGAGGAAGAACGAAAAAAGCGAACTACTTTGCCTATCTCACAATTGACAAAAGAACTTGACTAGACAACACGAAAAGATTCTGCTATTCTTTTCAAATCTTTGTAGTGCCTCTTCCATTGAAGACCTACAATAATCATAGGAACTATAATTAGTGCTTCTTATTGTATGCTAGAAGTTCATAGAAGAGTTCTTTTCTATCTCCTTACCGCTCCCCATTACACTGAACAAGTAGAAGCGATTTCCAGCAGCAGTTGCAGTGATCAGTGCATGAGGTGGCTCTAGCTCATACTGGTAATACATTCTTCCAGAATGTTCTGCTACATTCATGCTTATAACCTTTCCTTCTACATTGTCTCCAATTACTTCCGGTCCAAATGCACTGATTACTTTCTCTGGAGGTCCAATACGCTCAATTGTTGCATTATCTCCCAGATCTATATGAATTATAACACGGCCGCAAATGAATATGGATTAGTGAGGTTACTGAGTTTTGGTCTAATAGGAGAATGCTATAAAGGAAATAAACTCACTGTCTGCAAATCTAAGAACAGGTGCCACAATGACGGACAGACGTCCCTCCTTGGAGCTGGCAAATCTCAAGTCAATCTCTGTACCACCAAGATCAGCGATGGATACTGGAACCTGTTATAAGGACAAATGGTAGAATAACAATATATGCAATAATACCATTACTGATTGAATTACCAAATTGGTTTGGGAGGAAACAAAATGAGAACCTCTCAAGTCTTTAACAGCTTGAATTAAGTTAAATAATTTAACACGGTTTTCAGTTGTGCAGAGATGAATAGATGATTATTACCTCTTCCCAATCTTGAGGCACTGAAAAGGAGTAAGGGATAATTGGACTCCATCCAACACCATGGCCTCCAGATTTATCATCCGGCCTACGGTATGTTCTCCAGCCTGTCTGAGCATATTTTGGATAATGAAGTTAACTATTCACTTTATAATCAATTAGCAGTCTATCCATGAGGCCTGCTTGAAACGATGATTATTGAGTGCATCCAACGCAGATGAATATAGTGCACCATGGACTCATGTTTATATGGGATCTACAAGAAATTATGAAAGACGGATCCCACATGAATTTGAACAAGGAAGTGCATAAGCACTGGATGCACTAAATATTCTTTGTTGTAAACACCTTATAAAATTATTATCATACAATTAGGCCTTATGAGTATTAAATGGAATTATTGAATAGTAAGAATCATAGCTATGTTTCCTGTCAATCAATAACACACCCTTGAAAAAAACAAAAATATTTTAACGGTATTTTCAATTGCACTTCGATTTTATTACAGGGGAAAAGAATAGTAAAATTGCAAATAAAGGTATAGAAGTATGAAAACTAACCTTGTTCATCTGGTTCAGATAAACCAGGGATTCTCCCTGCTAAAAGGCCTTGTTTCACAACTGCTAATCCATCTCTTGGAAATCCCAAAACTGAAGAAGAAAGCAAAGAAAGCCCAGAAACCAGAACTGACCTCTTGGAAAAGCCAGACAATTTCTCATTTTCTCCATCAAAAAATCCGCCATCTCTTGGCTCTGCAGTTGCTTTGGTTCTTGAAGGTACTATTTGTTGGTGATTACATCTCCAAGGAAAACTACAAATAGGGAATAAGGTAGTTCCCATCTTCTCCACTTAAAACAGTGGTAGAGAAATGAGTATCAGTATCCGCTTTATCCCCACCAGATCAAAGAGTAGGAAAATGGAGTTGCTATTCTTGTTTTCGTTTTATTTTTTGTTCTTAGAAAGCCAAGATTGAATTGAGCTAGCTACAAATTGGTGCTAAAAGAATTGTCTAGAAATTAATAGAGACTGAGCATTGGTATTTTGTTGGCGTGGTACAATAGCAGTGCGTAGTTTAGAATCTATTTAAAAAAATCTGCAATTGTAGCCTTACACGTGGCTTGGTTTTTTATGCCAAGATACACCTTTTAAATGATCTAAAGCACCGAGTAAATTTATAGCCTCAAACGGAGGAAACGGACCCGAGCCTAGCGAATACCGAGCTGGATCCTTGTCTCGTTAACCATACATTCGAGGTGGAGTTCAATTCAGAGTTTCAAAGCCTGAGTGAGTTTCGTTGAACTCAGTTTATAGTAAAAATTATAAAAATATTGTGGCTTATCAACCAAGCTAGCTCGCAAGCATTATCCTAAAATTCGAGCCCTTGTTGAACTTATGGAACGAGTTTGAATGATGAAGCCTTTTTTTTTTTTTTTTTTTTTTGCGGATCAACCAAGCGAGCGCGCAAGCAGGAGCCGAAAAGTCGACGCCCCGGGGGGAACGGAGGACGAGGGGAGGAGGAAGCCGGGGGGGGGGGGGGTGGGGGCAAGAAGCGGCGGGCGGGAAAGGGAGCGAAAAGAGCGAAGGGGGAAAGGGGGGGGCCGCAGCAAGAACGGGAAAGGAGCGGGGCGGGAGCGAACAAGGGGGAACCAGCCGGGTGGCGAGCCCAAAAAGAACGGGGAGAGAGAAGAGGGAGGAGAAGGGGGCCCGGGCGGAAAAGAAGTGGAAAAGAAAGAACGAGCGGGGCGGCCGGAAGAAGGGGGGCATGAACAGAGCCAGAGGGGAGGGCAGGGCCAGAGAAGAAAAGGGGGCAAAGGAACAACGGCGCAGAGAAAAAAAAAAAACGAATGGGGAGAGAGTATTGTATGTATTATGGAGAGATAGAGGCAAGCCAGCACCACCAGAGGCAAAAGCGCAAGCCGGGCACACGGAGCAGTCCGAGGGAGAACGGCAGGCAGAAAAGCCAGGCAAGGGGGAAGACCAAGGGGCAGAGCAAGGAGGGAGAGGGGAGGGGGAAGGGATAAAAAAGGGAAAAACGCAGGCAAAAGGAAGGATGGGGGAGGGGAACGGAAGTCAAGCAAGCGAAAAAAATGAGGACGAGCAAGGAGCGAGGAGAGCGGGAGATGGCAAGAAAGGGGGCGGGGGAGCGGAGGCAGGGGAGAGCCCAGGGGATCCCGAGGACCACAGAAGCCGACTCCGCAGACAGGAGAAGAGGGGGGAAAAACGCAACAGAAGCCAGAGAAAGGGGCCGCAGGAAGCGGAAGCAGCAAAGAGGGGGAGGCAAAGACAAAAAACGGCGGGGTTAGGAGCAGGAACAAGGGCGCGAGGGACACGGACGGGGCGCCAGAGACACAGCATGGAAGGGCCCGAAACAGGGAAGCAGAAAGGGGGGAGAACCGGGAGCAGCAGGGGCAAGAGGCAAAGGAGAGAAAGAGGACAAGCAAAAGGAAAGAAGGGGAAGGGGAGACCCAAGAGACAGGGGAAAGAGGGAAGCAAGAAGGCGGGGAAGGACAACGAGGGGAAGGCAGGGAGGCGCCAACGAGAGAAGGCGACCAAGGGGCGGGGCACAAGAGTGCGAAGGGGGGCAACCAGAAGGGCGCAGCGGAGGGGGGGGAAGACCGGAGGGGCGCGGAAAGGCCAAGGAGGCGGGGGGTGCAGCACAAGAGCAGGGCGGGGGCGATGAGAACCGAACACCGAAGGTGGCGCCCACGGAGAGCAGGCGGGCGGAGCGGGGAGCGGAAAAACAACAAGACCCAAGAGGGCAAAGGGCAGGAGGAAAGCAGGGCGGGAGGGAGAAAGGGGCCAGAGACGGGACCGGGGAGGGAATATATATATATATATTCAATCCATCACCACCAGAGGCCAAAATCTCAATCCTTCACCACTGAAGCATTCCGTTGAGAACTTATTTCATGAAAATCCATTCAATTTTGAAATACAAGTTTCATAGCAATTATTGAGAGGGTAGATGTGAATAATTGGATAAAAAAGTTAAAACTCATAAAATGAATTATTTGGTTTATTTGAACTTAAGTCAATCAATCTAAAAAATTAATACTAATCAATTATCTAGTTATCTTTGAGATTTTCAAGAAAGTTTCTGGTTATCTGTGCATGTATAGCCCATTGGGCCGAATACCACATAAGCCGACCGACATACAGGAGAAATAGTGTTAAAACCAACAAAGCCAATAAAAGTGGCTCATGAAACTGAATCAGCAAATATGTAATTCAGCAAAACTTCGTTGGTATGATCATTAACAATTTCTCTAGCGTACACTGACTGGGTGCCTATACACACATTTAATTGCCTAAAAAGGTAAGCAGAAAGTGTTTTAGAACCTGTGAATCAGTGGCAATAGTCAAAATATATAGAAAGATTACAAGCAAAATTAAAGAATTGGAAGTGTATACCCAGATATACAGGTAAGATGTAAGCAGAAGTCTTTGAAGGACAACTATGGTAAAGGCACGGGAGGCTTCCAACTAGAGAATTCGACCAAGTTTCTGTTCACAATAGTTCGATTGTGCAACCAGAATGTCTCAGCTGATTGGTGGAATAGCCTTACTTTTCGCTGAAGCTCCCACATTATTCCTTGTGTTGCAGAACAAAGTTCAGATTCTGGGGCGTATACCCATAAACACCTAATTTGTCTCCCACTGACTATCATTCTTTCTATATCTTTATCTGAAACACAAGACCAAAGTTCAATTGCATGATGAAAGGCAGTTCGGCTATTGATAAAAGTAGTCCATAGACATTTACCTGGTATTGATTCTAGGTAGTACAAAAGTTCAGAACCTATTCGAGTAGATGGCCATTTGATTGAAAACTGGGTGTAGTCAATCACATTTTGGAACGGAAACTCTGCTTCATCTGATAATATAACTGGAACACACTCCTGTTCAATAAAAATATAACATCATTTCAACTAGCCTTTTATTTGTGTGTGTGAATGCAACACAGATAGAGATATATACCACAAAAAAGGACTCATAAAAGCGAAGTGTCCAAGAAGACTCTCCACGTGGAGCAAGGCAGAATTTGGCATTCCTCAGGTGTTGAAAATATTCTATCCTTCCAAGTTTGTCGGGGCCACTAAACTTCAATTCTGGAGATTCCAACTGTTCACAACGTCATGGTGCATATGCTATATCACTTCATAAACAAGTATTAATGACAAGCATTACAAAACTACAAGATTGATATGAACAGGACTTGCAGTTCAATCGCATATCAATATCACAAACATCGCATGCAGTTAAAAAATACAATACCAATTCAGTAAAACATGTATAGCAGATACATGTTCTTCAAAAAAAAACTTCGAACCAAACAAACCATCACCATTCATCAAATGAGGGTAGTAGTAATTTTATGAATCCTAATTTTACTTCAAATACTCAGGTAAATTTGAACATTTTAAATTTGTATGCACCATAGTCCTTTTCCAGAAGGAGAAATAAAGGATGGAAACAGAAACTTATTCATGCTTAAGTGTGTGCTGCAGCTTAAGTCTGTATTGATACCTCAACTAAATCAACTAAAATTTCTTTACATGGAGAAAATCTCTTCCCGACTATCAAGAAGTCACTCACATAAGAACATACCTTATCTGGATATTGTTTGGCAAGCTCTATTAATTTAAGACGACCAATTTTTCCTTGTGCACGACCTAAATAATTTGCCAAGTACTTCCTCTTTGATAATGGCAAAGGTTGAACCACGGTGGTTTGCCTTTTGGTCATTCCATCTTCAACATTGCCAGGAATGATGATATCTTTCCATGTATTAAAAGCACTTATGTCTCTCTTATCAGTCCGATCCCCCTACACTAACGCACAAACAGCATTCACTAAGTCAAACACTTGGCTTCAAAATAGAGTAAAAGGAGGGCAAACATATGGATAGCTAAAAAAAGAGACTCCATTGAAGTAATTAACAACCAACTAGTATCAAGATTAATTAGTGTGCTTTTAAGACACACTAAAGCAAAGATTAGGACAACAAATTTGCAGCCTGTGATGAGATAACACAAATATAAATAAGATAGTGCAGATAGTTTTTCCATTTGATAGTAAACTAACTAGTACAATATGAGAAAAATCTGAGTGAATTAATACTTAAATGAGAAGTTCAAAGACTATGAAACTAATTTCTGGTTTAGAGGAAAAAACTCGTATATAACGTGCTTTCCACCCCACTACCCAGGATCAATACGCAAGTAACTTGAAGGGCCAAATTGGATCCACACTATGATTTCTGGCATCCCCACCACCCCGAAAAAATAAATAAATAAAAAACACTAAAAAGTAAATACTATGAAAAGGCAAAAGCTTAACTAAATTAAACATGTCCAGAAGTAATTATGATACCTCAGGAGTAAGAATTACGGAACGATTTATGTATGTTGCCCAAGATCTAAATAAATGAGCTCCTGCACCACTGCAATTGAGCAAAAACATGCATGGATGCATCAGAGACAAGAAAAGCTTGTAAAATGGACTAAAATCATGTATACAAAACAAATTTAAAAGTAGTAATGTGCTTAGCGCACTCGTTCAACCATTAAAACAACAAATGACAAAGAAAACATCCACCTCTCCACCTTTGATCACAAGTAATCATCACATAAACTCTCTGTCTTCCAGTTTTCTCTCTACCCTGAACTTATCTGTAAATGGAAAAATCTAAAGCAAACAAGCGGTTCCATCATCGGACATCAGAAAAACAAACTTACATCTTTTTCTGTAAGCAAAATCTTCCACATTTATCACTACATATAGAACTTGCAGAAGAAGAATAAAATTAAATCAAATAAAACGAAATAAAAGGCATTTATCATGAGTGATAAGTCGACTATGCCACCAATATTCACAACCTCTCCTCCTGTAACAAAACCAACAACAATATTTTTTTCCCCATTCTATCAAGCATAAAACACCAAAGTAACAACTGTTTCCAATCCAGAATCATACCACAAGAAATGGAAACTGATAAAAAAAAATTCAAAAGATGAGAAGTTATTTCCATTTAATGTTTCTGAGGAAAATCTTTGTAATTGCTATCTAAATTCTATCTATTGATTTAAAAGTTTCAATCAACAGTTAAATTACTCATCTAACAACCATCCACCTGAAACACATAAGGATTACACACCTGGGGAAGACAAATACGTGGTCACGGCCTCCAGATCGTCTAAAATATGGCATTTGACTTAGAACCTAAAATTACAAAATGTTAAACTTAAATTAAAAAAGAATTCAACTACCAAATATTTGTTCAAAAAGGAATTGCAGATCTTTACCTTGACATAAGTCTGGTTAATCTCTTTATCATTAAGTCCTCCCATCATTCGAACACATTTAACATAAGCCGGAACGAAGAACAAATCAGCTTCTTCTTTCTTTCTCGTTCTAAATCTTGATTTTAGAAGCAGCCTGTGTATCTTAACCTATAACTATCATATTATTATAATGTACCATTAACAATGCCTCGAACAGCCAATTCTAATTATATGCATCCATTATAATAAATTTCTGAAAAATCGAATTACCTGAGTGCCCCATTGGCCTTTAACGCAAGCGTCGGCGGAGATTTTTCCGTCTCTGCCACGAAGGAGCTGATTCAATCCGTCAATCTCATCTTCTTCATAGACGTAGATCTTCAGAGACAGATGAGTACCATAACCTCTCTGCGGCCACCATAGAGATCCACCGTCAGTTACATGGATGAGACTTTGCGATTGTGATGTGAGGTCGTGGTTGAAGGATGAATAAGGATTGCAGGTGGAAAATGACTGGTCGGAAAGGCGGGTGATGAAGAAGGTAGCGGCGACAAGGAGAAGAGCACCGATCTGGTGTATACGGGTGCAAGGTGGAGCTTGCTGGTGAGCTGTGAAGATTCTTGCTCTGTTGTTTAAGCTTCCCATGTGCTGCGTTTTGGTGCGAGAATTGATTTCTTTCAGTAACTGCGCTGAAGGAGGAGAAGACTGCTTGTCATTTGGCAACTAGACAGGAGGAACAAAAGATGGGAGAGGAAACGATGGCGTTTTAAACAGTTAGTGGAAATTAAAGATCAGTTTCAAATTTCGATTCGCCCAAAACACAGGCCTCATAAATTCATAATTCACAGGTTTACACACAGCACTAGAAATTTTAGGTAGACTTATCTAATGAAATAAAATCAAATCAACAACTTACTTTTCTCTAGTTTATTTTCTGGTTAATTCTTTCAATTTGATTAAAGATAAAAAAACATAATTGTGTTGGTTTAGGAGTCATCAATGTGGACTAAAAAAAAAGCGCTGATGTGGCTTTATTTTAATAGATGAATTTATAGCTGATGCCTGAATCTAATTAAAAATTTTTTCAAAATGAATAAAAAAAATTTTTCAATTTTTCGAAAAACTTAATTTTTTTAGTATTTTTAATTAATAAAAATTATTTAAAAATTAAAAATTTTTCAAAAAGAATGAAAGAAAAATTTTCATTTTTCGAAAAAACTTTAATTTTTAGTATTTTTAATTAATAAAAATTTATATTATTTAAAATATAAAATATTTATAAAAATATTTCCTCTCTTTAATTTAAAAAATAATTAAACAAAATGAGTGGTTGAGACTCCTTTCCCTTTAACTAAAAGTCTCGAGATCGAGCTTTAAGTATGAAAATTGTTATAGGTCATACAGTACTCGAACTAGATGTACTCAGAATCCAGTGGGCTTTTCGGATACTGTGGTTATATTACCAAAAAAAATATTAAACAAAAGTTATAGTGTAAAAAATTTAACAATGGATTATAGTGAATATTTACACTCTATTTTATATAAATGAATTCAAAACGTGTAATTTATACAAATACATTCTAGATAAATTCTATAGGAAAAACTTACTAGCATCAAACTAATGAAATTAAGGATTCTTATTGAAACGATGATATTTCTGATCATACAATTAGAAAAAAAAAAAAGGGACAAAGTATGATTTTTTTTTTTTTTTTTGAAAAAAAAATCAAACTAGACATTTTGTTAATTAAAAACTGTATACAGATATGAGATATAAATTAGTATATTTTTATATTTTTGTATAGGAAGTCTAATAATAAGTCATTTATACAAAGAATAAAAAAACACAATTTTGATTTGAAGTATCTCATCAAGTTGATAGAGCATAATATTTATGTCATAGACGATCGCTTATTCCACTTAGTGGCTATTCATGGTCATTGTTCGAATCCATAATCTTTCTATAATTTCGATCTGATTACCTTCAATTTTCTTCATTCTATTGTAGAGGAGATCTGCACTTCTTTTTACATAACTATCCAAATAATAAAAGATACTAAACAAAATCATCATAACAATAATAACAATAATTCACAATTAAATTTGAGAACAAAATTTCAAAATATGGGTAACAATAATTCCGATGTATAGGCGACAATAACTCAGATTCGAAAACAGACAAAAAAAAAAAAAAGAAAGCGATGACCACCAGTGGCCACTTGTGAAAGAAGAAACGAGAGTTTTTAGGTTTTAGATTTTGAGAGAAAGAGAGTTCTCTCATGTTTTTTTATTAATCGATAAACTTTAAAAATCACCTAATTTTATTCGAAATATATTTTTTCAAATTCACTAATTTTGTTATACCATAATATTTTTTATACGTATTCTTAATTTTATTAGTTTGGTCCATAAGAGGGTTATGGATCTGTATAGGTATTTTTTTTTTTCAAAATTTATTTATAAATGAATTTTTTATGTTGGCAAAATTAAAAATTAATTTGCTTTTATTTTTTTAAATACCCTTAGCATAATAATTTTAGAAAATTAGAATAATAGATAGTTTTTTCCTAAAGTCTTTAGTTATTTAAATATGTATAATTCATTTAGAAATTTTATATTTTTACCTAGAATTTGATTTAATTATATTCAAATTCATAGAATTGAATTCATAAAATTGTTTTTTTTTTTCATTTTTTTAATACCAAATACAAAAATTAGATTTATAAATGAATTCCAAACAAATTTGTGGAATTGATTTATTCCAAACAAGAGTTAACTAATATATTAAGATCGTGCTTTTATTTATTCAAAATAAAATCACATGCAACTGATAGCAAATTGTCACAACCCGATTCCATGGGTCGGACCGGCACTAGGGCCCAAGTAAGCTTAAAGCCTCTGAGGCCCGTAGTCAGCCTGAAACACTAGAATCTATTATCTCGGTATAAATTTCAACATTCAGCCCATATGATTATGAAAAATAAACCTCAATAATGAATAAACCTCAATATTTTATTAATTTCTCGGCACAAGTTATTTCGTCTCCTACAGCATTCCAAAGGTCGAGCCCAATTTACAATGACATCACATTCTAATATTCTGGCTTACAGGATTAAATTTGTCTATGTTAATACACAACTAAATATATGTAAATCTTACAAACTGCAGAGTCATTAACTGTTGCTATACATGCTTTTTATACACATAATACATAGCTAAGAATAATTATGGAACTAGAAAATTTCTCTTTCCCTGCGCAGTAAGAAACATAGCTAAATCGGATTAAGAAAAAACTTACTTCCTGAAAAAATCAAATAAGACATGTGAGTTTTCTAAGAAATAAAATTATTGCACAACACACGCAGTCACACAAATATGTAAACATTTCAATCTAGTCATCCGACTAGTTATATGCTCACGCAGCCAGTCACACAAATTACACATACCAGCACTCACACGTAATGTCACTTTCAAGTAATCAAGCAAGTGGTAATTAGTCAGTGGCACCACTTGAAACCCAAACGAGCCGTCCTCACACATGGCTCGCCCTCTCGTACATGTGCACTAGGGAGCCGATCCCCCATACGGCCAACTGGTCTAATGCTCACTGACCAGTCCTCTCATTGTTTTTCCAGTCTCTCGTTTCTTTTCCATATCAACAGGAGGCAACCCGGTGGTCTCCATCCAATCTAGATTATCTCATCAAGGTGCTCACAACAGGAGGCCAACCCTGCGGGCTACAATGCAAATCTAGATTATCAAGTGCGCACAAAAGAAACCATCCCTGTAAATCCCATATAATCTATATCACAGGTGCACACGGGGGCGCCGATCTCCCATTTTTCCGGCCGACGGTCAAATATCATATCATATTCAGGATCCATATCACAGACCGTCCTCACAAACTCACGGTGGTCTACTTCATCCCAATTCCACACAAACAAAGCATAGCATTATCACAACACAATTAATCAAACATTGAAATCAAATGTAGACACATTAATCAATTGCACGTCGTAATGCGAGGCACAATTTGACATCCGTTCTCAAATGCAAATAAATGAATAAATAAATAAATAAATAATATTAACAATAAACAACAACAATAAAATAAATAACAATAATAAACAACAATAATGAAAATAAATAAATAATAATTAAAATGAAATAATAATAAATAAATAATTAGAGCACTCTATTTATTATGCATTAGGTTATAGAATTAATCTAAATAAACTTTTTAATTATGTTATTAATTAAAATTAGTTTAAGTTCTAACGAAATTTCGGCAGTAACTCCCCTATAATTTGAATTATCCACCGTTAGATAACACAGTATTATAATTTAATGAATACATTTACTAAATAACTCGACTCGCCCTTATGTATATAGATATATATATATATATATATCAATTCTTATAACTAGTTTATCTAAATGTTCGCAATTATTCAGAATAGTTGTTGTTCATCAAAATAGGTCATTCTCAACCTAGCTCATATATGATGTATGAATCAATTCATTCAAATTTTCAATTTAATTGACTAATGATTACTAAGTTTAGAATTTAGACCAAAAATAGGAAATTGGTCTTAGAACGTACCAATTGAAATTGAGCGACGATTCCACGATCCTCGCGAAGAGAGGAACATTCTGTCCCTGGCACCTCATCGGAGACTCGCCGGACCGCCGCCGCCGCCGCCGTCCACGGTGGCCGGAAAAGTTGGGGCCACCCAGAATTGACCCTTCTTCACGCCACCCCACTCCGGACCGCCGCCGCCGCCGCCGTCCCACTGGTGGCCGGAATAAAGTTGGGCCATCCCAGAATTGACCCTTCTTCACGCCACCCACTCAAAATTCATCGAGGAGTCCCGTTTTTTATGTCTGGTTGTGCGAGCGTTGGCCCTCCATTGGTCTGAATTCGGTCCGACAGTAGTGCTTTTGCGTGCGCCACTTAAATGGTGTACTTCGCTATTTCATAGCGTCCCCTGGTCAGCGGGAATTAATAGGAGGAGGAAAACACTCACAATCTGGTGGACTGATCCCTATCTACGCCCTGCCTTTTGTTTCCTCTTCTTTGTTTGACGTCGCGGAATTGCTTCGAATCTCGCCGGAGATCAAGAAGGAGAACTGTCCTTGATGGAGACAGTCCCACTTCGCATCAACTTGGAGACTCTGCCAGTGTGGAAGGAGGTTCGGGATAACTGGCCTCCAACCATGCAGCTGCTACGTGTGAGCTTACGATTCGTCCATCTCTCATATCTGCTTTTCGTTTCGAGCGTGTGGCCGGAAACGGAGGGAGAGGTGGAGGGAGGCTGTCGCCGTGCTCTTCCTAAAGCGAACGAGAATAGAAAAGAAAAAAAACTAGTAAGCTTTATGTTTTCTAGGCAAAACTCTAGCCATCTCGGTGTTCGATTCAAACCAGGTTTGTCCGATTTAGTGGGTAGTCTCAATTTTGTTTTGACTTTTTCAAGTTTTTTTTTCCGCTCGGTTTTCTGGAATTTGGGTGTGTCGTTCTCGACAAATGTAAACTTGAATTTTTTTTTTTTTTCTTTTGGGTTGTTCCTAATTCAATTTATTTTTTAACCGTTTAGTGTTCGGTTCCTCTGTAATTTTTTCTCCATTTACTATAATTATAAAAATTATTTTATAGTTAACAATATTTGATTTTAGGATATAGATATTTATAATATATTCATTAATAGGTTTAAAATTACCCAGTGGTTTTCGTTATTATTTTCATCAAAAATT